GCAGAAGGTGAAGTTGTGACTGCAGAGGAGTTCGATTCAAAGACCAGACCGACGGTGAGGAAGCAGCATCGACATGAAGCAGCTCCGCTCTGTTAGTTCTGCATTCAACATTGCAACAGCAGGCAGGAAACACTCATGACACACTCAGCGTCTCTGCATCACACTGATACCACAGAGGGAGGAGGAGGTGAAGCCGAGGAGACGCTGCTGCAGGGCGACAGTTAACAGGAGGAGGCCGAAGGAGGAGGTCCAGGAGAAGTTTGAAGCTGCATGAAAAGTCAAAACAGAAAGACAGACGTTGAGCAGAGCAGAGGAGGACAAACGTGGACATCTAGGAAGAGAAAGTGAGACAGGAGACGAGTGGACGTGGAGGAAGGTGGAGCACCAGGAGGAGCAGAAGCACCAGAGGAGAGGAGGAGCTGTGGCGTCGCCATGGAGGAGGACATCAGGAAGCAGGGGATGCTCTACTTGCAGCAGCAGAGGTTTGGAAAGGTACCAGCAGCAGTGCTAATACCACGGCTAACTGTGCTAACACAACAGGACAGTCTGTGTAACACTACAGCAACTCCTGACACACCATGCTAACACCACGGCTAACTGTGCTAACACAACAGGACAGCCTGTGTAACACTACAGCAACTCCTGACACACCATGCTAACACCACGGCTAACTGTGCTAACACAACAGGAATGTCTGTGTAATACAACAGCAACTCCTGACAGACATTGCTAATGGCACTGCTATGTAACAGTATAACAGGAACAGCAAACCTTCCATACAATGCTATCAACACTGCTAGCTATGCTAATGCCAGTACATCAGGAATGTCTATGTAACAGTACAGCGCCACTTTGACACACATTTGTAGCTAACGATGCTAATACTTATACAATCGGAATGTCTTTTAAACTGTGTACTGGCAACCCTGAAACACAATGGGAACAGCACTGCTAACAATGCTAATGCTAACCCAAAAGGTTTGTCTATGTGACAGTACAATGGCACTTTGACACACACATTTGTGACAGTGCAGCTAACGATGCTAATGCTAATAC